CATTATTTTTTCATTACGACCCACTAAAATCTACCCGGACCTTTCTCATGTAAGGAGTGCGTTCATGAAGTGCACTCTGGACACACTCTGTGCGATAATTCACTCAAAAGTCATTCATAAATGGTTGTGCGTTTAATTTATAATCGTTCATAAATTATTGTCTCGGAGTACACCTAGAGTGTCAAAAAATCACCGGTTGAAATATACCGGCGAAAAATCACTCGACATGCGCAGTATTATTTTCCCTTTTGCCTCCATGATCGTTGGATTGTTTTGTGATGGTTTTGTGCATGTTTTGTGATTCGGAATTTGGTAGAACAAAAATGAGTTCGTTTTCCAACTTTAATTTAGTTACATTAGAAAATGGGAATATTTTAACATCGGAAAACGGCGAGATATGTTTACAAAGCATTTCTGGTAAGTTTTTGAATGATTGTTATTTGAGGTTACCCGACTTTTCTTTTAGATGGAAGCTGTTTTGTTTTGTAAAACCAACGCAAGAAATAATAAATGCCTTTAATAAGCAATCCTGTGATGAAGCAGTGGGACGAACAGATGACAATTTGGAAACATCGACAGAATTAAGTTGTTCATCATTTATTCCGATGTAAAAAATGAAAATAAACGTATAAAGTGGTCAAAAAGTGCTATTTTAATGTTAATTGATTTAAGAATAAAATGTGACGAATTCAAATCTACTATCAATAAAAATGAGATAACTTGAAAACGTATTGCACAAGAATTAAAACAGAATGGTTTTAATATGACACCTACACAATGCAATGATAAGTGGCGATATCTAATAGCGAAATATACTTCAGTAAAAGACAATAGAAGTGACAAATGTACTGGCGAAGAAGCCTTTGATTTTCCATACTATGAAGAAATGGATAACTTTTTAGCAAAAAAACACAACGTTAAACCAATCTCAATAGCAGCTTCACTTAGAGGTGATACAAGTAAGTAACAATTTAAGAGCCTATATAGCAAACTTTGACTGACATAACAGTCTTAATTTATATCAGACTTATAATTTTAATTAACTTTCTTGCAACTGCCAGTTAGGTAATTTTATTAAGCCACTAAGAGCTGATTACATCATTGTGTTAAACGAAGATTAAAATGACATTGTTAACGTAAAAATGTCATTTTAATCTTCGTTTAGAAGTTTAAACTTCGTTTAATACAATGGTGGAATCGGCGCTAAGCTACATACCAATATTTATTTTATAGTGTCTAATGAACATAATGCAGAGGTATTAGAAGCAGCCCAAAGTTCCAAAGAAAAAGGCAGTAAAGTGAAATCGAAAATGGGTAATATTCCACCTAAAAAAACAGGCTTTCTCACCATCTGGGACAAATAAAGAAAGGGAAATAAACAGAGATCGTCGGCACCAGGAAATACTAGCTGTTAGAAACAGGGCAGTCGACGTGTTCAGTGTTGCTGTTGGAAAAACTTAAAAAATAATGTTAGAATAGCTTTTAGTTGGTTATAATTTGTATTTTCAAGTTTAGTTAGTTTTATGAAGATATTTTTAAGAATGGATATTTTGTTTTATTTTGTGATTGGGTTATTAAAATCCAAAATTAATAAAAAATTGTTTATTTTATTAACATTGAATAAAAATATAGAACATTTAGTTTTTAATTAATATCGATTTGCATACAGTTCTCTAGATATTTGATTCCTTCGAAATCTTCCAGCTTCTTCTATTTGAATAGTATTTATAATTAAGTTATTTTCTTCATTTGCAATATTAGGAACTCCTTGTTGAATGTAATCTTCAATACGGAGATCATTATGATTTAAACAAATATTGTGCAAAACGCAGGCTGCTGCAACTGTTTCAGGAACAAGGTCATTTTGATTCATATCAAGAAATTTTAATCTTCGGAATCTTCCAAATAATAAAGCAAAGGTTCTTTCTATAACCTGGCGTGTTTTAGCATGCACACTATTAAAATAAATTTGTGTTCGAGTTAGTTTACCTCTATTGATATATGGAGGAATACACCATGGCAGGACAGGATATGCCTTATATCCAATTATATAAGTATTGTCTGGAAAATAATGTAAAATGTTGTTTCTAATAGCATTGTAAATATCGGAATTCCTAAAAATTCTTATATCACTAATAGATCCTGGATACCCAATAAAAACATCTGTGAACTTAATATTGGGCTCAGAAATTGCCTGTAAAGTAAATGCATAATTGCATTTTCTTGTAATATAAGATTGTGGGTCCTCTTTGGGTGCTTTTATTTTAATGTACGTGCCATCAACTGTGCCTATAACATTTTGTAAATTTGCAATATTCTGGAATTTTCTTTGAACTTCAATGAGTCTTTGTCCTTCAGGCCACTCTATAACTTGAGAAGCAATAGAGTTTAGAAGTTTGACAACTCTAACAAAACAAATTGAGAGAGACGATTTTGCTAAATTAAATCTTTCGCCAACTGATAGTATCTCTGCACGGAATATTTATTCGCTAATGAAACTCTGTCGTATTTTTTACCCATTATTGTTGTCTGGATGCCTTTTTGGTTAATATGGCCCAATGAAGTAGCGGGTTATATGGCCTTGGGCCATATAACCCGCCCGTAGGAGCATATTACCCTACTTAATTAAAAAAATTTAAATTTCTCTTCTTGGTTTTAGGTTTGAGATGGGAAAAGTATGCAAAAATTTACGCAAGCGGTGGTCTCAAGACCAACTTGAAGAGGACATAGCAGCTGCCAGAAACGGAAAATCTCAACGAACTGTTTTTTCTAAATTTCAAATACCTAGACGCACTTTACGACGATATTTAGTTCAGGGCTTGTCAGAAAAGAAATTGGTTCGTCCAAGCATATTGAGTTATCAACTAGAGAGAGATTTTGTACAGCGAATTAAGCGATACTGTCAAAATGGTTTACCTCTTACTTCCAAACTTGTCCGACATCAAATGTTTCGATATTGTAATATAAACAACATTCCCAATAATTTTAATAAGGAAAAGCAGCTTGCTAGGAAGGACTGGCTGTATTTGTTCCTGAAGAGACATGCTGATTTATCTGTACGAAAGGCGCAACCTATGAACCCTGTACGCGCTTAAAAACTGAACAAGGAAATCGTGTCTGACTACTTCACCAAGATATCCGAACTTATGGCAACAATGAACATTAAAGATAAACCTCAAAATATATATAATATGAACGAAAAAGGCTGCCGCCTCACCATACACCATCAACAACGCGTTATGTCTGAGAAGGGAGTACGACGGATTCATATGGTTGCGCCTAAGTATGCTAAAAATGTCACGGTTGTGGCTTGTTGTAACGCTATGGGCAACTTTATTCCACCTATGATATTGTTTCGAGGCAAACGTCTTAAACCAGAATTTAGCGACAATTTACCTCATGGAACCCTTGTAAAAATGACACCAAAATGGTATATGACGACGCAACGCTTTAATAAATTTTTAAGTCATTTCACTCTGTATATATCGAACGGACCTACACTTCTTGTTTTTGATGAAGCTTTCAGCCACTTGGATTTCACTATTACTAAAACATCTGAGTCTCTCGGCATCACATTATTATGTTTGCCATCAAATACAACTTACGAGCTCCAGCCACTGGATAAGGCTGTATTTCGCTCTTTTGAAGCAAATTGGGACTAGGAGCTCTTAAGGTATTGGGATACCTACTCTCAACGAAGCCGAAACAAGGCCAGATTCTACATAGTTTTTTCTCGTGTTTGGCCCAAATGTATGACATTAGAAATATTATAAGCGGATTTAGAGGTACAGGATTATTTCCTGTTATTCTTGACGCAATACCTGCTGCAGCCTTTTCACCTTCTTTAGTAATGGAGCGAGTCATGCCTGATGAAATTTATTTAAAATAACAATGGAGACGCCGAAAGAACACACTAAAGTCTTTCAACTGCATACATTGAGATTTATTCTGACGATGATGTTCCATTGGCAGCTTTAGCTAGAAATATTAATCCAGTTCCTCAACAATCTTCTCCAGATATAATGAATGAGTCGTTTCAGGAAATAATTCCAACTCCTACCGAAGAAAAGAATTAATAAAGCAAAAAGAATTGGGCGAAAAGCTTTGAATTATAAAGCTTAGAAAGTTACAAAAGACCTTTTCTCTGAGAGACATCACCCATAAGCTATGGAGTCTTCAGCTCCGAAACTTTCAGCTCCATTAACTTCCAAACAGAAAAGCACTATCCTACAGTCGACATCTAAACAAACTAAACAGGAGTCATAGTTATGTGCAGCCTGTGAAAAAGACGACCAACTTGACATGCGAATGTGTGTAAAATGTCATACTTGGTACCATGAGGCATGTGTTGGCCTCGAGTCTGACAATGAAGATTTTGAGTGCTGTTGACTTTTTGTTCTCATAATTTTATATTTTAAGTTTTAAATTTTGTATTTTTTAGTCTGTTCAATAAATGTTTTAGTATTTGTTATCTTTGTTTATGTTTCTGACTAGTTTAATATTTTTTGTTCTTAATTTTGTGAAAACCAGATCAATCTTCCTCAGTTTAAAGATTTTTTACTTTGGGCCATATAATCCGACTAGATTGGTAATATGGCCCAGTGCAGGGCAAAGTATTTTTATGATATAACATCTATTACGAATCATTTCTGACCAGGCTAACTTATATAAGTATGTTGGCCACATACTTACCTATTATGTTGTGGAAAAAATGTTCCTTCAAATATTCATGTTCTATATATAAAAAATAAAAAAATAAAATAATAGTAGTTGGGTGATCAAAATATGAACTTTGGTTTGCGGATTTAATTTTTTTGTATTGTTCTCACTATCTAGAATTGATAATATGAAATATATTTGTTCAGTTCAACGGAATAGCATACTTTTCTGTAGTCCGTGCATAGATAAGCTAATATCCATGTGGGTGTACAAAATTGAATATTCTGATGTATTTTTACTAAATTTGGATCGACATCATTAGTTTTATTTTTTTTTTTTAGGGTACGGCCACATAGCACCAAAAACAACATGGGGAAAAGTCGTTACTATATTTTATGCAATATTAGGAATACCATTAATGCTTCTATGTCTATCAAATATCGGAGACATTATGGCCACATCCTTCAAGTTCTTATATTGGAGAGTTTGCTGTTATATGTGCCAGAAGAAACCGAAAAAACTGAAGAGGGGACGGTCTATGCGAGGATCTTTTCGTTCAGAGTAAGATATTTATGAATAAATAGATTCTTTTCTACAATATTCAACAACACCTGTTTCCCACATGACCTGATAAAACAATATATTGAATGTTATTTTTATGAAAACTTAATTATCGGTCAATTCAAATACGTTAGTGACATTGTTTTGGGGTAACATCAATTTGTCACGTGGGTTACTGGTTTGTTGAAGATCTTTTACTATTAGTCCGTCAGATAGTGACAGGTTTAGGTGCCCCATTTTCGCATGCAAGCCTCGAAAAGCAAATCGATTTTAAGTAGAATGAAAGGAAATTTACGTGTGGGTCCTGGGGATAACAAATGGAAAATTCGATTTTCCCTAACAAAAATAAAAGGTGATTTGTAACCCATATTTCCACGCAAGCCGTTTTCACTATATGATTAATTAATAGAACTAGACTTTGGAAAACCAAAGGCTTTAATGTTGCATGTGGCTAAAGGGTTGAAATAAGGGGGTAATCTTCTAAAGAAAAATCGAGATTTTACCCGATTTTTCCTCACAAGCCCATCGAATTTATGAAATCGTACACTGTCACTAGTCCGAAAAATATATGTTCTTGAATGAAACGAATGTATAAGTGCATTTTGGGGTCGGAAAATTTTTCTGATAAGGAAAATCGAATTTTCCATATGTTATCCCCAAGAGCCTTTCGTAAATTTTCTTTTATTCTATTCAATATCGATGTACTTTTCGACTCTCTTCGAGGCTTGTATGCGAAAATGGAGCACCTAAATCAGTCACTATCTGACGGTCTATATTGTTTAATAAAAAAAATGAGAATAATTTTGTGGTATGCTTGCCTTAGTTCGAAAATTTAAGGATTATCTTTTTTCTTATTAATAACATATTAAATTCCTTTTAGTGGAAACAAGTTCTCCAGATCGAGGAACGGGTCTTTCAGAAGATACACTAGAAGCCCAAGGGGACCTGCCAAGAGATTAGCAGACATGGGGCCAATGTCCCATTCTGATACGGAATTGAGGTAAGTGGAAAATAACGGGATTTCAGTAAAAACAAATCAGTTGTAACTGGATTGTTGTACAGAGTCTTCAACAATACCTGTTTCCTAAGTGAATAAATTGATATCATCAGTTGGCTTTAATAATAACATTAATAACTTTGTGCCTATTATTTCTAACACATGGCATTTTCTAGACCGCCCCTGTTCAAGCCTCTTACGATCAAACCCACGCATTCAAAAAAATGTATATCTTCCATCCTGCGAATAGCAAGCAACGTCATCTCGCTCTAATATAGTACAAAAAAATATATTTTCTGCAAACATGTTAAATATCACGTACGCCACGAATCAAAAGCATACAGGTATATACTCTCTACCACTCAATAGAATTAAAAAATAGTTTCTAATGAAATTTGGTTCGATAATGTAACTCTCGTCAGTAGGATACAGTCTTCATATACAAACAAGAACCAACGAATCGACTACTTCGTCTTTCACTATACACAGCATCGTTCTCGCCACACTCGTTACTCCAATTTCAAACTTCGAACCGTCAGCATGCTTCCGGGGTCATTTTCTTTCGTCCTTCAACCAACTATAAAAAAATATAACACACGGGGCAATCTGTACTACCAGCTGGCCGAGCCAGCTCTATAATAACTACTAACATAGAGTTCTAAATTTCTTACAAGCAAGAAAATCGTTCATTTTTAAAGTAGTGTAAAATATGTATATTATTGTGCAATCGCTTTTATTTAAATAAGTGAATAAAACAATATGGCGTTCTTCAACTAATTCATGGACAAAAGGTTCTATACTATTGTTTGCGGTTGTTTGCGGGTTTTCAAAAATTGGCACTAGATTTACGATTCGAAAGCCTATGAGGAGTGATGAACGCTTTGCATTTATTCACCTATTCTACGTCTGTTTACGTCGTGTTCTCCGATCCGAATCTATTGTTGGTACCGCCTTCAAAGGTAGTGCATTATAGACGTAGTTATGGACGAATGAGGCCCATAGAAATAAACCAAAGTAGCACTTCAATTGGTACTTCTACAAGTGCCTAAAAATAACTGTGAACAAATGAGAGTGTAGAGACAGCGTTCAGGCCTGAGACGTTCAATATCGTTCACGTGAGACTTCTCAGCATGACTTCATGGAGCAAGTGTAGAGCGTGTTTAAAATACATTTTTATACAACTGCTATGAAAAGTAGCGTATTTCTCATAGCCTACTTAATTTCAAAACCATGTATTGCTCATACTGTGAGAAATATTTTTCTCACGGCACTAATGGCTGGTATATCTAAGGGGGTCGCGACATAGGCGTCCATCTTGGACGCCATTTTTTACGAAAAAGTAGTCACAAGGCCTGCCAAAGTAAGAAACAAAAATCACCGGTTTTTTAAATGACATTTTCATTATAAAATGCCCAGATTGTTTAGGATAAAATATTTAAATTTAATCAATTATTAATAATCTCACATGTAGAATACGTCGTGAAAAGTAGATCACTTTCAATTTTATGCTGTTTTGATTTATTTTAAAAAGTAATATGAAGAGATGAAGACAATTTTCTTATAGAAGAGGACGAAGAACAAATTGTGGCTCAATTTTTTAGGGCTCCAGTCCCCTAAGTCTATTTATTTTAGATCTTTTTAAATTGTTGGTAGGTGTTATTCACTTCATTTGGATGGTTTCATTTAATTTAATCAATAATTTTGTGTAATATCTTGTGATTCGTTTTCTATACATTTTAGCATGTATTTGTTCGCTACATCTTACAAAGGATGGCTTTGAAATACTTGTACAACAAAGGTACTTTTCTAAAGACTGGCCGAAGTTTTAAACCGATTGCAGTTCCTACAGAAAATCTCCAATAAAAAAAAAGCATTTGTCTGCATACAACCGTATAATAGGTTAACAAAACTAGCAAAAAGCTGGAATAAAACCTTTGTCTAGCTTTTTTAATATTTCAGGGCAATAGTGTTAACAGTAGACCACAACAAGAACAACCAAAGTTTAGTAATCAAGCAAAATATTTCAGTATCTCCAGAATTATAAACTAATAGGATACATGTATGGCTTCGAATAGAAAATTACCCAAATTAGCATGTGTAGTGAATATTACATTTAAAAATATATTTTTTATCAAAACTTTTGGGCTTCAATTCAATATTAACCATATATAGAAATACCTATGCATTTTCTAGTATAAACATTTTAAAACTAAAATAAACCAATTTCAAATAACTCTTTTTTATTTAAATAAAATATGATAAATACCTACATGTTCTTATTAAATACATACATGTCGTGACCCTAAAGCCTTGGTTTCTTTGAACACTTCGTCGCGGTGAGCGGACAGTCCGTCAACCGTCGCGTTTTGACGATTTTATCCAACCAGAGTATTTAAATGGGAATGGTTTTCTTGAATCCGCTTAGCTGAGCAGGACGGCGTCATGCCGCTGATTTGTCGCGAAGAGTCGGTTGATATCTGTTGAGTTTGATATCAGCGGAATCGTCGGCGTGTGCGGAGACTATATTGTTATTAATTTTAAAACAATGAGTGACAAATTCACACATACAGATGACATCATGACGTTATTTTTAGATTTCTTGGAAATTATGTCCTTTATAAAACTCAACACGAATTCAAAAAGATCTGTAGAAAGTCTAAAATACTCCCTAAATTTGGTTTCATTTCCAAAAAACCTCCGCCGCACAATGATATTAAAGGCACCTTCTATATCGCGACACAAAAACAACTCATCCACTGGCTTATTGGAAACTTTGACGGTTGCAATTGCCAGTTCCTCTTTTTCTTCCTCTTCCAACAATAATAACAACGCAAACAATTTATTTGCATCCATTTTAGTACCTTTCGTTTACATTCATAATACATAAACAGCACGTACAGACCTAGAGAAAGTATCATTTTCTAAATTTTTTAACAAACCACCTCGGGCAAAAATTGCTGTCCTCAGCGGTCGACGGACTGTCCGCTCACCGCGACGGAGTGTTCAAAGAAACCAAGGCTTTAGATATACCAGCCCTGACGGCACTTTGCCCACACCACATTTATATGGAGAATCAACAAAAATCGACAAAAACTTAGTTGGCTGCTGTTCAGCTTTAAATAGTTGTCACAGCTGTCAGATGATTATCGTTTTTTAAATTTTTAAGGTGGTTTATATTCGTACTTTGATAAAAATCGAAATTTCCGATAAATATTTCAATAAGACATATACCTATTTATAATAAATAGCATGGATACTGACAGTAGTGACGATTTTGATAATACTCCGCCAGAGATACTGGTAAAAGCTAAAAAAGTAACGTTAGATTTGTTGCCGGTAATTTCAAGAAAAAAGTATTAATTGGCATACGAAAAATTTATAAATTACTTAACTTTAAGAAGTTGGATACTTTAATGTTATTTTAGATTTGCTAATAATAAAAATAAATATTAGGTTACATTACTTGTATTCTTTAAATTTGTGCAGTTGTAGAAAAAGTATAGTGTGCAACATGTGGGGAAAGTACTTTTCTGACTCGTGTGTTTGCGGCACTCGCCCTTCAGACTCGTGTCACAAACTTCCACACTCGTGAGAAAAGTTGAACTTTCCCCACTTGTTGCACAATATACTATTTAATATCGAAGTTAAAATTATTTTCAACATGGGCAAATAGTTTTTTATTTTATTTAATATATTTGTGTAAAAAAATATAAAATTGCGATTTATACTATAGAAAATATAGAGTAAAATTGAAATAAAAACAAGTTGCCATATGTAAGAAACTGTTTAATATAAACATGTACAAAAAACACAAGACGATATCTTTTTTAAGACGAACATCTAAAAAAAAAAATAAACGTTATTCCATACATATGGCCTGCATATACGTTATGATATATCGGTGTTGACGTTTTTAAAACTCTCAAATATTTACCAGCTCATAATAATTTAGATTGAAAAACATACCTGATCATAAAAACATCACTACAAAGTATTTCTCAATTCCTTTGATTACATTAAATTTTGTTTTGACTATTAGCTGATATTTTCTGTCGATACATACTCAAGAAGTGAATAATATTTGACAGGCATATTGTTGAACGTATGGCTGAAAAAATTAAAAATATATCCAGAAATTTATGTAGTAGAGAACGAATTATTAATAGAAAATATATTAAGAAACTTTGTCATTTTATTCTCCAGGTACTTAGACGATTCTTATCCTAGAAATCTCACTCTTCCTCGAACAAGGTCCGGTCGTTTCCAGAGATCACAAGACGCTCAACGAAAAATAAGTCGCATCTCATCAGCTTCCAGTCCGCCTGTTCAACAAAACCACGCCCCACCTCCAAGAGGTTACTCCTTAGACCGAAAAAAATCAACAACAAAAGATTACGGAATGGAGTTGGACCCAATTTCAATCGATAACACTCCAATATTGTTCAATAAATACATAGTTGGTAAAGATGGTGGGTTTGATAGGATGATACCAGGTAAAGGTAAAATATCCTCTTTCCTGTTTTGGACTAACATTTTAGTACTTGATGCAACAAGGTACAAAGTAAAATAATAACCAGTTAATCTAAATAATAAACAATAAAACCTTGGATACTCTAATTGTTTCATTCAATCTAGATTGCTTGTCTCTTGATTCAGATATGTGCGTCTTATTATTAGTTCGTAGTTACAAATAACGTGTGCTGGTAGTGCATGTTTTAGAATATTGTAAATATAACAAAGTACATATGAAAACCAAGCTGATTTTATTGAGAATTACGAAATTCAGGAGGCAGTATAGATTCGAAATCAGTAACCAAAATTTTGCGCTACACAGCAGCTCAGGTAAAACAAAATCTTCATGTTTAGAGAATTTGGTCGACTGTTGAACATAATTTTCTTTATCTACTGTTTTCATTGGATATCATCCAATGCCTGTTGTGATATTAGCAAAAGAGGTATCTTCAAAGGTCAATTAGTAGAAAACAATTATTAAGAATTTCAAATTTCAAGATCAATAATAAACTTTGACTCGCTGCCAATAGCAACACCCCTCGTTATAAAAAAGTTAGACTTTAACTTCATCAGTTGTTTAATGAAACCAAAGTATTCAAGTGTGCCAGTTCGTGTATTATTTATTTATTCACCTGTGGTCAAACAAACTCAACTTTTCGTCAACTGTCTTTGTGGCACCTTACAATGATTCAGAGTACGTACAGCTTTTTTTTAGGGTAGCAAATATGTCTCTTCCTTTATTGCTATTATGTCCTGGTATAGATGAATCAAAATGATCATAATTCTTATTCTCAATAATTTTAGGCTAATGCTCGTATATTTAATTAACTATACCATATGACACAGTAACTATATAACACTCTATAATTTGTATCTGCCTCTTTTAAGATGTAATTTTAGGATATTATAATGCATTTTTCTAATTTTTTACTACCCCGCTTCACCGTAATTAGATTCATGGATTCCAAATATACGAAAGCATACAACGCGAAAAGAAATTAGCACTCTTATTAGTCTTATTTAATAAAAAAAATTATTAACGAATATTTTTTATAGGATTAACTCCAAGGCAGATGGATTCTCAAAAACGCTCAACTTCCATGCCACCAAGGCGCGCAAGAAGTATGTCGAGACATCGTCAGTTCTTAGAACCTCCTAGATATCCTTCTCCCGATACAACTGATGTCGAGGAAGATCTGGATTCTCTTAAAGACAGGCCCAGGCAATCGCCTTCAAGAAGATTACCCAGCCGAGGTAAAAGAGGAAGATCAAAATCGCCAAATGGTAAGCTTGGGAAAATTTTGCAAACAAAAATTATTTATTAATAAACTTGAGATCTATAGATCTAATCACAGGCGAATCCAGATGACTTAAATTTTGGTCCAATTCTCCATGAAGTGTCTGCTTGGTTACATAAAAGTCTCTTGGACCTATTTTGTTAATTTATAGTCAATTGGTTCTGTAATTCTTCCGAACTCATAGAGAGTATACCCAGAGAATATGGAGCAGAAAGAAAAATATTTAATATGGACTCTAAGAAACATGAAAGAATTCTAGGACTCTTTTGGAATATAGAAGAAGATATTTTTGTATTCCAATTTAAATTTTCGAAAATTCCATCTTATTTATTAGCTGGCACAAAGGTACCAACAAAAAGAGAAATTCTCCGAATGACCCTCTTTGACCCCATTGAGCTTCTCTCACCTTTAGTAATCACTGGAAGGCCTATTATGCAACAGTGTTGGAAGGAATCAATTAAATGGGACCAAAAGGTTTCGAAAGATATCTTAAACAAATGGAGGAAGTGGCTTGAAAATCTGAAAAAACTTAAATGCTTTAAAATTCCACGTCAATACTTTCATTATGCAAAATGTATAGAAAATGTACAACTACATGTATTTTGTGAAGGAAGTGAACAAGCATTCTCTGCAGTGTCCACTATCGGTTAAAGTCTGTAAAAAATGAATTTGAGGTCTTCTTTGTGGCATCTAAATGTAAATTCGGTTCCATGAATAAGAAACTGAGGATGAGGATGAACCTGCTCTTAACACTAACTCCTTTTGGTTTCAAGGTCCAGGATTTTTGAAACAATGTGAAGAGTTCTGGCCACAAGCTGAACAATATAGAGAAAATCTGCTAATCATTGAAAAGGACAAAGAAAGTATACAAAAATTAAATTCTCTTCCAAACGTCGAAAGATTTTCAAAATGGTTGAGGTTATTTAGATGCACGACATGGATAATAAGATATATAGGGAATTTGAGAACGAGAAATAAGCGAACCGGAGAATTAACGATCAATGAAATTCAGAATGCAGAAATTCTATGGTGGAGGAACATACAAAAAAAAAATTTACAGGAAATATTAGAAAGATAAAAAAAGGACAGTTATTAGGCACAAGTTCAAAAATAAGACAGCTATATCCATTTATAGATGAAAATGGTGTGCTAAGAATGGACAGTAAAATTAAGTTCGCTGAATTAGAATATGATTTAAAATTTCCAATTATTTTACCATCAGCGAAGGAGAATCAAACAGTAAGACTTTAGTACAGTACTATCATGAGAAATTGGAGCATATTGGTCATGAAACAGTTCTTAATAACTTAAAACAAAAATTTTGGATAATAAAAATGAGACAATCCGTAAAATTTGTTATTCATAATATTGTCAACACTGTAAAATTTATAAAGCAAAATCCCTTCAGCCAGAAATGTTTCCATTGCCTGAATATAGATTAAAAAGTTTCTGTAGACCATTTATTTACTGTGGGTTGTATTATTTTGGACCATTATTGGTTAAGGTGAAAAGAAGTAAAGAAAAGAGATATGGAGCACTATTTACTTGTTTAAATACAAGAGCAATTCACATTGAAATAGCGAACTTCCTAAATACCCATAGAGATGCATTCCGATAATGGAACAAATTTTGTAAGAGCAGAAAATGAAATGAAGAAATATATAAAAAATTGGATCACAACAAACTAACCGCAGAGGCAAGTATAAAAAACAACATGAAGTGGATTTTCAACACTCCTAGAATTGCACATACTGAAGGAGTTTGGGAAAGAATGGTAAGGTCGGTGAAAGAAGTATTTTATAAACTTTTGAGAGAACAAAACCCAACTGAAGAAATTTTAACGTTTTTAATTGAAGCAGAAAAAATTGTAAATTGTAGACTAATTAGCTATGTCTCCTGCAATGAAAATGACGTAGAAGCGTTAACTCCTATGCGCTTTTTGATAGGAACGACAGATACCGAAAATTAACCAACTATTTATAATAAAAAAACAATGGAAAATTTCAAGTTATGGCAGAACAATTTTGGAAAAAATGGACGAAGCAATATCTCTCTTCATTGTAAAAACGTCAAAAATGGATCCACAAAGCCATATCTAAGAAAATTGACGATGTGGTAGCTATTCCGGATATAAACATTCGGAACATTAAGTGCAGAGATGGGCAAATAAGAAGTGTAGAAATAAGAACCTCTGATTTTACCTTCGTTAGACCAGTGAATGGTATACTTTGGTTAAAGGTTGGAGAGTGTAACGATAAATAATACTTAACCCCACATAATTGTATGTAGTTTGTGGAATTTAATGTAGTGAAAAAGTTAATGTCAAGCCTGTCAAGGAATTAAATATATTGTCAGCAAGGTTTAATTATTTATTAAAAATATATAATAATCCTGTACCTCCACAAGCTTTACAAGAGTGTAGCGTACACTTCTATTACAATATGATCAAAAATTGATCAATGAGTAATTTTATTCTAACCTTACTTAACTAAGTTTGAAACAGGGACAAAACCCAATAAACCAACTACATATCGTTGACAATGCTAGGATACATCAGCAAGTAAAAAAGATAAGATTCTAGGAATGTCTACTAATATAGCCATAACCACATACTTTGAAAGAAATTTTTAAATTCAAATAACAACCCGAAAATATTGAAAATAGGCTAAATTCGTCTGGTACACAGACGGTTCAAAACTCAAGGAAAGAGCCGGTGCAAGAATCTTTGGATTCAAGTCGAAAATGATTCACTAAGTCTAGGAGAATATACAACAGTGGTTCAGGCCAAACTAATAACACTATGCAAAAAAATAATAAATCAGCAAGTAATAGGAAAACTATTGGCATCTACTGTGATAGCCAAGTAGCTTTAAAGGCAATTTTCTCACCAGAAATCAAATCACCATGGGTTAAGGACTACCTAGAAGACCTAACAGAGCTGAGTAGTCAAAACAAAGAGACTTTAGCCGGGTATCAAGCCATGAAGAATATAAGGACAATCAAAAGGCCAAACTAATTCGAGTAGGCTCAGATAAGGCCATGCTAGGACCCAAACTCTTCTGTGTAGTTGCTAAGGCATTGTGCAAGGCATTCATCAAACAATAGGCCAAAGAGTTCATTAAGTCGACCAAGTACATGAAAGACCTACTGAATCAAAAACAACAAATCATTGGAATAGCAGTATGTCTTCTTACCGGACAATGTCGCCTAAGAAGGCATAAGCAAGTCATAATCCAGAGGTAACATTGAGCAGGATCTGTGAAGAACATCAATCCATGTCCTGTGCTAGATTGAAGTTTCTAATACTAGATGAAGAAAAGTCAGAAGAGGAGTTACTGTCAAAGCTAATAAGTCTAATAAAAAAGAGAAAACTGGACAACACACTTTAAATAACGGACTCTCACGATAGATTTGAAAAGATCGCGGTGGACAAGGACACATTTAATAATGTCCAACTCCTTTTAAATAGAATCTAATTTAAGATTAAAATATTAAAAACCAAGATTCTACTCACGAGATATCGTAGAACCTGGTAACTTAATTATACTAAGTTATCTTGTAACATTAAACCGCACAATACTCTGCTTTGTACCAACAGAATCACTTGGCTAACTTAAAAGGTTTTACTCTCTTAAGTATTTTTGTGAGGTTATTGTTGTCAAGAACCTGGATTGACAAGGACCTGGTTTGTTATATGTGGATAAACTGAAGTAACCAGTACATTTTGTTAAATTTTGTATCAAGCTTTTCACATTTCATTTTCACATTCACCTTTAAGTGAAGTCTCAGATCTAATGTAGTGCCTAGACATAAAATGATTTGAGATTTATTATTTATAATTGGTATATGTCGACTATTTTTGTTAGTTGAGTTAATTTGAAGAGTTTGATATCGTTTGGTTTCGTTTGGTTTATTATGTCACCTTCTAATTAGTTATAAGATTAACTGATGTTTATTTCATATAAAGTTTCATTTGGATCAACACAATTAAATATAAACAAGCAAGAGTTGCATGTATATCTTAGTGGCTTTAAAGATAAAAGTTAGAAACGTTTAAGTAATAAATTATATATCATTGTGGAATAGATTTCCGTGTACTACATAAAAAATCTGATGTGTCCAACACATGACTTTCCTATCTAGTTATTATAGGCTTTTTCCGGTTATTTTGTACAACCTATTGCAGCATCTCTATAAATGTTTAGAGGATGAACTAAATATATACATTGTCCGCATACATTTACCTCGAAACATTTTTCTATAGATATTCATTGAAAACGAAAATACTGAAAAATTTAAATTTAGCACTTTTCCATTACGGTCCATTTTTGAAAAATCATGTATAAATAAAAATTATAGATATCGATATCGCAAACAACTTTTAGTTCAACAATTTTTATAAAAATCAGAATTTTGCACATTTTGTCAAATTTCTCGAATACGGACCATTTCAGGAAATTTTGACAAAATGCAAAAATTATAGATAATAATATTAGAAGTAACTTTTATTTGGAGAATTTTCTTCTCCAAACATAAATAACAGATATATTCCATAAAATAAAAAAACGGCCTCCCATAAAGTACCCCCCCAGATGTTCCGACTTTGTCCAAAATCTAATCATGTCACGTTAGGCCGAAATAAACCTTTAGTTTAAAATTTAATGTTTTATTCTTTATCCGTTTTTGAGTTTTCTTCAAAATTCGAAATTTACACATTTTCTCAAATATCTCGAATACGGTCCATTTTAGAGAAATTATGTATAAAATAGAAATTATAGAGAATTATATTACAAACAACTTTTATTTGAACAATTTTTATAAAAAAATATTTTTTTTACATTTTGTCAAATTTCTCGAATACGGACCATTTTAGGAAAATTTTGTATAGTACAAAAATTATAGATAATTATATTAGAAGTAACTTTTATTCGAAGAATTTTCTTCTCCAAACGTAAATAACAGATATATTCCATAAAATATAAAAATGACCACCCATAAAGTACCCCCCCAGATGTTCCGACTCTGCCCAAAATCTAATCAGTTCATTAGAGGCTGGAATAAAGCTTTAGTTTAAAGTGTTTTTCTGTGTATCGGTTCATGAGTTATGCGACATACAGACACACACACAGACACACACACAGACACACACACAGACACACACACAGACACACACACACACACACACACACACACACACACACACACACACACACACACACACACACACACAGACACACACAGACACACACAGACACACACACACAGACACACACAGACAGACACACACAGACACACACAGACACACACACACACACACACACACACACACACACACACACACACACACACACACACACACACACACACACACACACACACGCACGCACGCACGCACGCACGCACGCACGCACGCACGCACGCACACACACACACACACACACACACACACACACAGACATCATCGCGAAAATAGTCAAAACGGATTCAGGGACCTCAAAACGTAAAAATCCGTCGAAAACTCGAGGTCGAAATAAATCATGATTCATATACTTTGCTTATATCTGTATACAGATAGAAAAGTAAAAACTCTGGCTCTTTGACTTTACAGATATTGCATAAAGGTGGTCATAATATAAACGGTATTTTACAAATGATGATTTAAAAACAAAACTAGCAATTTTTTTTTGAAACTCTTCTTGACATTTTGATTTTAATTGACCAATAACATTATTTTTTAATGATTATAGAAGCCAAATTGTACGTAGGTTTGAGAATACGAGGTGTGGCTATTTAAAAATCAGACTGGTAAAAAACAAATGGTTTATTGAAAACATTTTACAATCTAGCTTTCATCTTCTTCAATATACTTCCCTTCTCTATCTAAATACAGCTGCATACGCCTCTTCACTTGTTCGAAACAGTGCTGCGGTTTATCAGTTGACATCCTGCGCAACAGGTGTGACGTTTTTTTACGTCCTTCACAAAATGATAATAGGTCCCTTTTAATTTATTTATTTAATAAGAAAAAGTCACGAGGTACCAAATCCAGCAAATACGGAGGGCTATCGTGCACTGGGATGCCTTTACTGGCCAAAAACTGCTCAATAGACAATGCGTTAGGTTAGGTTAATCATCTTTCTATGGATCTGGTTTTTTAAACGGTTTTATTTACCTTATTCGTTCTTTCAGTTTAGTCAGACCTCGACGTAATAGTTCTGATTGCCTGTCACGAAGTCGGATGTCCCGGATGTTTGTTGTCTTCGACTTCTTCCTAACCCTCGCTAAACCTTTTATGCCACTCGAATGTTTGAGTACATGACATTCAATGATCTTCATAAACTTTTATTAACAGACTTTTTCAGTTTAACACGATATTTAAGATTCAAGTACTGCTCGATTTTAAAACTCTCCAAAATTTGGCTAACCTAACGTAGTAGTATCCAACTCAGACGACCCTTCAAAGGAAACTAAACTGCCCATTTGACTGAAACTGGTTTAGTTGGAAAGGAGAGAGTATTCATCGTGTTTCGCTACGTTCCGATTTTTACGTTCAGAAAGTGCATTTCGGTTTTTGAAAAGCCAAACCTTATAAAGTATGAAGCTGTTTTAAAAATATTTTTTATTTTTTCAGCTCGATTGAGTCCGAGTCCTAAAATGATGAATCCCATGGGTTACGGTCTTCGCAGCAGATACTTTGACGAAGAATCCGATACAGATTACTACTACGATACCGACACGTACGAAGCAGGCAAAACCAGAATTAGACCGGTACCAATTTGGTTATGCGTTTTCCTCGTCGTCAGTTACATTTTAGCAGGAGCCTACCTGTTTATGACGTGGGAAGGCTGGGAATACTTAGATGCAGCCTATTTTTGTTTCATAACTTTAACAACGATTGGGTTTGGAGATTTGGTTCCAGCTAAAGAAGTTAGTAGAGATAATGATAGAGCTGCTATTAGTATAGCCCTTTGTTCTTTGTATTTGCTATTTGGCATATCCCTGTTAGCTATGAGTTTTAATTTGGTACAAGAAGAGGTTATTGGTAAGGTTAAAAGTGTTGCTAAAAGCTTGGGAATTATTAAAAGCAACTCGGATGATGATGACGATGATGATACAGATGACTGAGAGATAAATTAATTATAATAATTAATATTTTATGAAAATGTTAGTTGTAATTGATTAAATATACTTATTTTAAATAGATGAAGTAAATAAAATAAATTATACTCACTAATGATATGATTTTTTTTATTATATATGAAAAATACTAAACCATTGAATATAGAAGGTGATGTTTAAACATGCGGGTTGTTCCTTGGACTATTATAAGAATATTTTGTTCTTTGATGATTTTTAAAATTCCGTTTCGTTTAGGAGCACAACATTTATTATTTTTAAAATTATTAATATTTTAAACAAAAATAGGTACTACACTGTGTTAACCAAGAACATACAACTTTTTTGAAAATTCGTTTTTATTATTTTTTAACAACATTCCAATTACTAAAAACGGCTATTTTTTCTACTTAAAACAGATATCGTAAAGAAATACGGATTAAATCTGGATTTCATTTGAATTCGTCAAGTGAATCACTACACAAGCTCCGAGATGACTGACATGCATTACATTTATGGTCTTGCTGATGGAAATTCATTAGAAGCTAGGAGGTTGTACATTGAACGATTGCCTGACCGTAATATTCCTGATAGAAAATTGTTCCAAAATATTCATCAACGTCTTCATGACACAGGCGCATTGAGACGAAGTAGAGGGCCAGGAAGGTCAAACACAGCAAGAACGGTTGAAATGGAAGAAAATATGGTGCACATGATCCAAGAAAAATTGCAAATACTTTGAATGTGTTATTCGACCGTTTGGAAAATTCTTAGGGACAATTTATTATACCCATACCACATACAACGCGTTCAGGCACTTCTTCCTGCTGATTTTCCTCCACGTCAATGGCTTTTGCACACATTAGTTCAAATTCCTCAACTACTGACGCTTATTCTTTTTACCGATGAAGCGAATTTCTCAAGAAATGCAATAAGGAATTTTCACAATAACCATGTATTGGCTAACGAAAATTCACATGAGGTAATTGAAAATCCTTTTCAACATCAGTTCTCGTTGAATGTTTGGATTGGAATTGTGGGTGACTGGCTAACAGGGCCGGTATTTCTACCAGCAAGACTTACCGGTGAAGTGTATCGCAACTTTTTAGAACAAACTCTACCTGATTTGCTGGATGATGTACCATTAGCAATAAGAATTGCAATGTGGTGTATGCACGATGGTGCACCAGCGCATTTCAGTTTGATTGCTCGTGAGTTTCTGAAACTAAGATACGGAGATCGCTGGATTGGTCGAGGAGGACCTCATTTATGGCCCGCTCGTTCCCGGACTTAAATCCCTTGGATTATTTCCTATGGGGCAATCTAAAGTCATTAGTGTATACTACACCAGTAGAAAATGTGGAAGACTTGTGAATTCGGATAATTGCTGGGTATAACTCAATAAAAAACGACCCTGGTGTTTTTGATAGAGTTCGGCAGTCAATGAGGAGAAAATTGGATGCTTGCATTCTTGCTGGAGGTAGTCAGTTTCAACAGTACTTGTAGATAAAATAACATTTACATGTATTTTTTCGTAATAAAATGATGTTATTGTCTAAAATTTTGTTCGCCCTGTATCTCCTTAACAAAATGAATTTTCAAAAATTATCAAAGGACAAAATATTCTTAAAATTGTCCAAGGAATAATTCGTTGAATTTTTGCCGCATGTTTAAAAAACACCCTATACAGCAAAATAAATTATTTTAAATATCAAACGTGTTTAGTTTTATTTATTCTTTTTATTTAATAATGTTTTACCGATTTTGTCTGTCTGTAACTTTACTTTTTAGTTAGGTACTTAAATTACTCTACCGTTCAACTGCATTTTATTTTTGGTCTTACTTTCTGTTAACTTTGTAGAAATAATAAATAATTCATCGGGCGAACTCTGTATCTCCCTTGTGGGAGGAACCTCTTATCTATATCAACAAACACTGACGAACATCATAATGTTTTATTTAATTATTTGACAATATACATATTTACATTTTGCCACGACAAACCATTTATTTGCTTGTAGGAAACTCAAATCTCATTATTAGTTATGTTTGTAAATGAAGTAAATTGGTAAAAGGGTAAAAAGGTTTTTTTTTTTAAGGAGAACGATGTATATGTCGACTCCAGAAATTATATTGTGTCGAAAGTTACAAGTAGAGATGTATTCCGACCCCAAGATATGTTAACTGTTGGAAGTTACAGCTAAATAGGTACGGCCCTGTACAAAATTGCAGACAAAATAAGCGCGTATTCAATTTGTCACGTAGTCATTTATTTTGCGCCATTTTATACAACAAGAAACCGGATGTGAGCAATTAAGTACTCATGTTCCTTATCGGCAACTTTTTTGCAAATATTTGGTGCAAGCAGACAGTTACATTACCCGATGTCACACCATTGCTGCGTTTGAGAATCCACATCGGATGCATCTGAGATGTAAAAAATCTTTGATCACGTGGTTCAGTATACGTAAATGTAATGGGACAGATGTGTCCGATGTGGATAAAAAAACGCTCGAGATGTAAAAAATGCATCCGATGTGGATTCTCAAACGCAGCAAAAGTAACATAAAACAAAATCATTGGTCCGATACCAGACTTGACAAGTGACGTCACCATCTTCGCCCAAAGAAGCGTTGAAATCGGCATGAGTCACGTGAACACCGTAGTGTGCAGTATTATTTCTGGTATACCGATGACACATTGTACAACAAAAATAGAACTCAAATAAATAATTTTGTGAATTTTAATATTCTTGAGTCAAACACATTATTTTAAACCTTGTTTGTACAAGAAAAAAAAAACGACTAGACTTCATGCACCACCAGGTGAAAAGGTAAAAAGGGGTACATCCTTCGAGCATATATTACTAGAGCCATCGTCCAAATGGACTTTGTTTTGGTACAGGGGGAAAATAGTGTCCAGCATTCTTATTGGTCTGTTTCGTTTTGCTTGGCATGTCAAATCGTTCGAAATTGTCAGAACTGTTATCTGATTTTTGATTTTCATTAATTTCTAGCTTATTTTTGTAGTTTATTTTTTGTATTTTATTACTTTACTGATACAAATTTTAACAATGGTGAGAGTTTGTGTAAGTTTTAAATAGAAATATGAAAAGGCATCGTCAAGGTCATTTCACAAGTAAGTAACCATTAGCGTCTCTACCATTTTCTAAAGAGAATCATAAATATTTTGTGCAAAAGGCCGTTAAATATGAATTTAAAATAAATGGTAAATTTAGTGAATTAAATTTAAAGAACTTGTATTATGTATGAGGAATATTGTTTTAGTTTTTGGACCCTACTGAAAAGTTTAAAAAAATTAATCATAATTTTTCAATAAAAACAAGCTTTTCGTTTTTAAGTCATTTAATCATGATAATGTTGAAGATGTTAAATCAATAATTTTTATTTTTTGTAGGTTTCCAGCTAATCCTGCCGAAAAACGCATTTGGTGAAATATATTGAAACTTACCCCAGAAAACATTTCAAATAGTGATGTTTTATATTCCAATCATTTTCCTCGATATAGGTTTTGTCAAAGACTGGACACGGAGAAAGAACTAGATTAATTCCAGGCAAGGGCGCACGCAAAAATTTTTCCAGGGGGGCACGGGGGACTGGTACTTCCGTTGTCATTTACAAAATGCAGTGTTAGGGTGATATCATATGAACCCCTTTATTTGGAACCTGACGACACGGAACGAAATTTTTTGAGTCGATTCGGTTTCATTTTCGAGGAATCAAGGGCTCCGTATGAAACAGACCACTTTTTTCACTAATGGATTAAAAACTGAACGTCAAATTCATGGAGTAGCTAACATTTTCAAAATATTTAAATATTTTATTTACCTTAGTCAATTGCAAAAATAAGGATTACATTTGGAAAATATTGTAAGTCAAGGTTATGACGGTTGTTCAACAATGACTGTACAAATCGGAGGTGTTCACAATACCCCCAAGCTCAGTTTTTTTACTGTTGCTCCCATAAATTAAATCCTAATATAAATGATTTAAACAGCTTCATGGAAATACAGTAGGCACTATTAAAGAAATAATAATATTTTTTCGAGAATCATCATTAAGACGCAAATCAATAGAAAAATCCATGCTCTTACTGTGTGAAACCCGATGGTCTGCAAAGTAAAAAAGTATACGGCATTTTAATGAAATATTTTTAAACATTATTGACGTTTTAGATGATTTACAAAAAACATCAACCGGTAATACCAGAGCACGAGCTTTTCAGCTATTTACAACAACTTCTTCATGTTTCGTTATTTCATTAAACATTATATCTAAGTATTCGGCTATGCTAGAACCAGTTGCTAACATGTTGCAAGAAATAGACATTGATTTGCTTGCAGTTAAAACATTTATAGGCGACTTTACAGAAGTTGTCAAAAACACAGATATGCTGAGTCACTTTTCCATTCAATATATGAAGGTGCTGTGAAAATAGCGAATGCATGTGGCTTTGAATTGACCGTGCCTGGATTGCCGAGCAAACTATCAAGCAAAAGCAAGTTCACCAGAGGAATATTACCGAATCTCCATTTTTTACCATATCTGGATTCGTTCTTGGTATCATTAAGTAATAGTTTTTCGGAAGAAAAAGACTTTGATGCTGAGGCTGTGCTGTGGTATAACGTAAATAGCAACGACGAAAGTATTGCCATTGCCACCACGGAGTACATAGATTTATTAAATAAGTGCGATTTTTTCCATCCGTAAAAAAGCAATAAAAATTGGACTTACCTTACCACCAACAATATGTTCTATTGAAAGATCGTTCAGCACACTGCGGCGCGTAAAAACATGCTAAGTGTGCACCGAGAACTGGTAAACGAAAATGAAAATTTCGTAAATGAAGTAGTTAATAAATTTGCATTAGTACCCAGAAGGCTACAGTTCTTATTTAACTAAGTAAATATTTAAAAGAATTTGTCTATTATCATGTTTGTTTATGTTTATTTGTGTTCACCTTAACTGTGTACTTTTATTTGAAAATTATTAAAGTGTTTCTGCAAAAAGTCTGTTTTTATGGAAATTGCAGAGGGGCCAACTGCCCCTTCTTGCCCCTACCTGCGGGC